TCTGTAAGTAAAAACTTACAGATGTTGTATGCCACGGTGGAATCGTCACGTTTTATCTAAAGCACACTCTGTTGATTCACACGCTGATATTATTATTCACTCACTGTTTTAGGCATTTACAAGCTTAAATTAACTCGCAGCCGACTTGCTAGCAGCATGGCCTCTTCACCGCTCCCTCCTGCACCTTCCTGCTCACTCTGATGTTTGAGTGTTTGTTAGTTAAAGCACTGACAAAGCTTAGAGTGCTTGTGTGAATGGGTGAATGTGGCGTGTTGTATAGAGCGCTTTGAGGACTCCAGGAGTGTAGAAAAGCTATGCAGATGATGCCCAACTTCATTTATCCATGAAGTCAGATAACACACACCAATTAGTTACCTCAATACCTCATTTTCTGCTTCTAAATTCAGAAAAAAACTTATTGTACTCAGCACTCAGCAAGAGTACTGACAGGGACTAGAAAGACAGGGTATATTTATTTAAAATCCTGCTGCTCATGTGCAGGTTTTGAATGATCAGGCCTCATCTTATCTTAATCTTAGTTAAGATAAGATTAGTTATCTTAGTTATCTTATCTTATCTACTACTAAGATAACTAAGATAACTAAGATAAGTTATCTTAGTTATCTTAGTTATCTTAGTAGTTATCTTAGTACTATTAAAAGTAGAATAGGAGACAGAGCCTTCAGCTTTTAGACTCCTACTCTTTGATTTGGCAGACAGACACAGTTTCTACCTTTAAGATTTGGCCTAAAAACGCCCTTTTTGATAAAGCATATAGTTTGGGTTGAATCAGGTGACCTCTAATCTTTCCTTAGTTATGCTGCAATAGGTCTAGGCTGCTGGGGGATTCTGTTTATACACCTCTCTGCATTTAATTATTTGTTATTATTAATCTCTGGCTCTTGTCTTTGTCTAATATTATGAAGGCACTTTATTATTTTTATTCTTTAAAATATTTTTCAAAGGAGATGTGAGCTGTATTTAAGACGTACCGACAGAACTGCAGGAACGCCGCCTTCAGGAGTTTGGTTTTGTCCTCCTGAGCTACAGGCTCGGCTCGGGTTGGCGTCTCCATGGCCGACACCTTTGATGCAAATTCAACATTAGAAATGCATGACTGCAACACCCACAATTACATGTTAGCTTAGTTTTCCTTTTCCTTCTCAGGATTTCTTGTGTCAATAATTATGAGACGCAGAAGTCATGAGAAAGATCGAAGTCTCACAAACTGGCATAAAAAGAAAGTTCTTAGTCTCATCGCTCAGACTCTCTTTGAAACTCACTTCCGGGGCTGCAGCCAGCGAGGAGCACAGCGAGTCCTCCATGGTCTCTGGCAGGATGGAGGCACTCTCTCTGGCCACCACCGCCACCAGACC